GTGATCTGGGTTCACTGCAATTAATTAAGATTCTCCTAAGTAAAACACGTTACCACATCAAATAAATTTGGGTCAATGTGTAAACCTTTCTACATACTTGCGAAACTTAGAAAATTATGTTGAGAGACTTGCCCTTCTAGATAGAATTTCAAGTTTGAATACTGACCAATATTTTGGTTGAATTTGGTGATAGTCGGTAACAGTTTCACATCTACTTGAGATATACTTAAATCAGTTCTAGTTACATGAATCATATCAAGGTTCAAAAAACAAAAGATCTATTACTCTGAAAACCACCACTCTAAAATTTAAGAGATTTGAGATAACTGAATTTTAAAATTACAATTCTAAAAACATTAAAAACTGTACTTAATGTCTATCAGTTATTAAGGAAACTTTTTTTTTTTTTTTTTACCTGAACAACAAATGTTTTATCTCCAAACCCTGGTGTCATTCCTAAAATGCTCATGTAAGAAGCTTCATTGATGAAGTTTTCAATCCCATGGAAGACACCACGGCCAGTAGCAGAGATGCGTCCATGGATACCCCCTTGGCTGATGGGTTTACCAGTAACACAGGCATGTGCATTAATATCCTGTAAGAGGGAGTAATTGAAAGAATGAAATGTCAAGTCCAATTTCTCTGTTGAACGAATACAACGAATTAAAGTCAAAGCACATTCTCATTTAATGCTAATGAGGAGTGTGTGTGTATGAATGTATTTAAGGTACACTTTTACCAATAGAGACAACACTCACTTTTTCAGCTTTCTGTTCCTAGAAAATACAATGAAATAGACTATATTTTTGTTTTTGTTTTTTTTTTTCCCGAGACAGAGTTTCACTCTTGTTGCCCAGGCTGGAGTGCAATGGCGCTATCTTGGCTCACCGCAACCTCTGCCTCCAGGGTTGAAGCAATTCTTCTGCCTCAGTCTCCTGAGTAGCTGGGATTGCAGGCATGTGCCACCACGCCCAGCTAATTTTGTAATTTTAGTAGATACAGGGTTTCTCCATATTGGTCAGGCTGGTCTTGAATTCCTGACCAAAGGTGATCCACCCACCTCAGCCTCCCAAAGTGCTGGGATTACAGGCGTGAGGCACCACGCCCGGCAAAGTAGACTATATTTTCTGACAGAAGAAACAGAGTGTAGGGATTGAACATCAAGTAAGTACAAATAACATCACAAAAGTAGAGCTAGCTCAGCCTAAAGCTATCATTCCTTCAACAAGTATTTAAGCTCTACTAAATCAAGGTACATATACATCTCATTCACGAGTGTCTTAAAATCTACTATAAGACTTGAGCACGTCACCAAAACAGAGCCTGAGAAAGCAAGAGGCTTTACAATTTTCTTGGATGGGAAGACTCAATGTTGTATTCTGCCACTTGTTAAAAAGAAGTTTTTAACATAATTTGATACTTAATATAACAAGATATTCAAGTTCTTTTAAGAGTAGACTAATGAAAGTATTTAATGAAATATTTTTAAAAAGGTATGTGCGGGTGAGAGTCCTGTGCTTCTGTGTGAGCAGAGTATCTTTGGTAGCAGTGGTTAGCTCTGCAAAGTGGAGATGGGGTTAGCAGTCTTCACCACCCATCTTTCCTTCCTCTTTCAACTGAAGATGTGCATATATTCTTGTTCAGAAACACGTGTAATTAAAAAAAAGAGAATGGGGCTCAGGAGGGCTTCCCTTCAAAGGCATCAGTTAGACTATAAACATGGCCACCGGAACACTGTAGAGTAAACTCACTGGTAGCGCAGCAGAAACTAGAGAGTCTTATTTTATACAGGCAATCAATATAAAATGAAAATCCATATAAAATTTTAAGTCAGTGGCAAAAGTATGAAATAATAAACTTGTTGAAGCAATTTGCTATCCATGTAAACAAAATAAAATGCCTTACTTCACACCAAACCCCTAACTCCCAGCATTTCCCTAACGTTCCAGCTGGCTGAATTAAAAAGTGATCTATTCTTTATCTGCACTGTTTAAATATTTTTACACAGAGAACTTAGAATTATATTATTTGTATAATTACCAACAAAAAGCATGAAAGAAAGGAAGGGAAATGCAATCTAGTAAAGTGATTTATAAAATTAGTTTTCCCACAGTTTGTTTTCGTGAATAATTAACACTTATGAATACAGAAATGGAAACTGAGTGCCAAATGCTTTTCAACAGTGAGAATGCAAATGCTGGAGCTGAAGGAAATACTGTCTGGGGTCAGGCCTGGCGCCAACTGCCAGGCTCCCCAGCATACATAATGGTCCTGAGAGCCCAGAGAAGAATACATTCTCCCACCAACACTGCACTTCTAGGTGGGGCTACGACAAAGAGGGCGGCGGCACGTTCAGTTGACATCTAGAAATGAATAACAAAAACAACTGCGTCCTTCCCGTAGGCCTTGATTTTATATTTCCTATCACTGAAAGAAGGAAAACTGTTCATCAGTGTAGTTCAAGGGGCCATGCTTCACCTGAATCCAGCCTGGCCAACATGGTGAAACACCATCTCTACTAAAAATACGAAAAAAATTAGCTAGGCATGGTGGCAGGCACCTGTAA